TCTGTTCCAACTCTGTGTTCATAATTGCTTGTGGGAGAATTTGTGTGATTGTTGCTTTGAAATCTTTGTCAGCTAATCCTAACATTTTTGTCATTTGGGTGTTAGTGTCTGTTGGTTTCTTTTCTCATGAAAGGGAAGTTTTCCTGGTTCTTGCTATTCCAAGTAATTTTGGATTGTATCTTAGAAATTCTGTGTATTGGGTTATGTAACTATGGCTCGTGTTTAAGTCTTCTATTTTAATAGGTCGGCAACCGATTAGATGTAGAACATACCTCCTGGCCCACTTTTGTGGGCTGCGGTCCTAATGTTAATTTAATTTTTGAACCCATGCCGTATTATTCTGGTGTGCTGCATGGTGCCCTACTTAGAGGCCAGTCTGAAACGTGGGTGGGATTCTGCAGGGTAATTTAATCCTCAAGAACTTTTTCTGGGTTGATTCTGGTCAGCTTGATACCCGGGTCCCTCCAAATTGAGCCGGAGCCTTCAGACTTAGATTTAAAAATACTGATTTCATCTGCTCCATCCTCTCCATAATCCTCTCCCAACTCTCTAGTTCAAAGCTGGAAGGGATGTAGCCTGATTTTGGAACTCAGTGCTGGGTGGCGTTGTCCCAGGGTCCCAGTCTCCTACTGGGGCTTGGTGGTGAGAAGAAGGAGTAATCTATAAAGCTTCTAGGACAAAAGAGGAGAAAGCTTTTGTGACCTTGAGTGAGGCAGATTCCTAAGAAGACAAACCCATATAATCTATAAAACTAAAAGTTGGTAGACTTCATCAAAATTGAAAACCTCCCCTGTTCAAAAGACACTGGCAAGAGAATTTTGAAATGATAATCCAAAGACAGACATGAAATATTAGCAAAATAGGGCTTTGGTCCAGGATACAGAGAGACTTTTCAAAATTCACTAAGCAGAAAACAACCCAATACAAGATGAGCAGAAGAGCTGAATAGACACTTCACCAAGGGAGAAGTTTTGGATGGCAAATAAGCACATGAAAAGATGCTCATGCTAAGTCACTGGATAAATAGAAATTAAAGCACAGGGAGATCCGGCTCCACCTAGGAAGGTGGATAAAACAGCTCACTTGAAGATACCAGTTGCTGGGGAGTTCTGGGACACCTCAGAACCTTCAGGAGTTGCTGGAGTAAATGCAAATGAACAGCTGCTCTAGAAGCTTGGTAATTTGTTAAGGAGCTAAGTAAGTATTCATCTACTACATTATCTAGCAACCACACTCTTTAAGAATTTACCCAGGAGTAATGAACAGAAAAATAAAAAATGAGCAAAAATAGTTAATGTACAACCTGTATATGAATATTTATTATGGCTTTATTCATAATTGTCTCAAACTGTCATCGGAAGAGTCCTCAACTGTTGAAGGGTAAGCACATTGTGGTACATTCATATTCAATAATTAAAAAGAACAAGTAGCTGATCCATGTAACCACATGGATGGATGAATTTTAAGTACACAATGATAAGGAATAGAAGCCAGAATGAAAAAGGCTACATATGTGTATACAAAAGGCAAAAGTATAGCGAAATAGAGGAGGCCTGGGTGGGGGTGGGTAGGCTACAAAGGTTCACCAGGGGATTTTAGGGAGGGATAGAATTGTGCTATGCCTTGGCTGTCAAAAGTCACTGGATGTAGACTAAACAGAACAGTTTTACTTTAAGTAAATTAGACAATATACCTGAGGTTTTAGAAAGGATGTCAAGCATCTTGTTTGTGGAATCCTGCAAATGGCTCCCACCACGCAATCCCTTAGAGAGTTCGCAGACTTGGTCCTATCCTGCTAGTTAAGGGATGGGTGAGGGGGGCCCGCAATGGTGGGAGGGTGTCCCAGAAGAGGACTCAGATGGGCACAGGCAAGTGCGTGGGTGAGTTTGAGAGGAAGCTCTAATATGGCCTGGAGGCCATCACAGACCCATGTAGTCACTGAGAGCAGGCCCTTGAGAGTTAGATGCCTTGAATTTGAACATGGTTCCTCTGCATCCTATCTTGGGTAAATTATTTAACCCATCAGTACCACAATTTCCATGTGTAAAAAGAAGGATACTAGTTGCCCGCCTGCCTTATGGTAGTGAGAATTAAGCTAACTAATACCTGCAAAGTGCAGAATAGTGCAGAGGACGTAGGTAGTGCTTAGTTATTGTTAGCTCTTATTATCCCTTGGCTTATGCCTTTCCCTAGTACGCTTCTCAACACACATTCAGGGGATTGGATGCTTTGCGCCTATTCCTGGGGACAGGACACTGGGCACTTGGAATTGCATCATGTCAGGACCACCTGAAATCTGGAGAGGGAAAGAGACAGATAGGCCAAGGGAGAGTGTAGGGTGTAAATACTGATAATTGAGGGAAACACAAGGGTTATGGGGCCTCAGAATTAGGAAGGGAATCTGTCTGTGAAGAAGGTGACTAGAGTTCATCCACAGAAGAGGTGGTCTTTGAGAGGAGTTCTGAAAGATGAGTACAAGTTTGGTAAGTATCCTGGCATGCTTTCACACATCAGTCAGAGTCAGAAAATGTTTGAAGGTTCTTAAATTTAAAAAAATACACAAATTTCAGAGATAATAGATGAGGCTTTAAAGGCGTCTGAACTAAGAATCAGGATCAGGTGCAAAGGGGACCCCGAGGGCTTTAAACTGAGGGGCAGTAACGTGATCAGATCCTGGGAGAGGAGGGGTGGCGTTGGTGGCTGGTGGAGAGGGATGATTGAAGCAGAGAACAAGGCCAGTTCTGTGCGTCCCCAGCAAGAAACAAAGAGGCCTGAGCTGGGGCAGGGCGGTAGCAACGGCATGGAGTGGAGAGACTCAGGAGAGATTCCAGAGCTGGCCAGGGCTGGAGTAGAATTCAGATGTGCCCATTCCTTCAACCCCCATCTCATGATGCCTTCTCTGGGGGGCTGAGGATACAAAGGTGACCAGTCCATGTCCTGCTGCAGTGTGGTCATTCTGGTGGGGAAGAGAATCTCAGACAGTGATCTCAGCAAAGGCAGGGTCAAGCGTGCCCCAGCCATTTGGAGTTTGCCCTGAGTGCTGGACATATAACTGTAGGATTTAGTGTTTACTCCGCTGGGTTTTTGTCTTGTTTTGGTCCCATTCCTTTCTATTTCTCTATTCTACATTTGTAATGGGAATGTTTACCCTGTGGCTTTGTATGTGCAAGTGTTTAAACTTCCTTTTTGATTTTTACAGCAGCTCACAGATAAGAGTTTGCCTTACATCTCAGAGACTTTGGATACGGACTTTTTAGCAATGCTGAAACCATTAAGACTTTGGTAACTCTTAGAGATGGACTGAATGCATTTTTCAGAGAGCTGTGCACTAATCTTTTGGGGTCCAGGGACAGAATGTTATAGTTTATGTCCAGATGTTCCCCCAAAGCCTCGTGCACTTGTAGGCGGGGCTTTGGGGAGGTGACTGGATGATGGAGTGTGATGCTCATCAGTAGATCAGTACACTGATGAGTTCAGAGCTAAATGTGGGGAGGTGCAATCCGGTCCATGGAGGTGGGTCACTGCGGGTGTGACCTGGCAGGGTATACCCCTCCCGCCTTGATCGCTGCTTCCTGGCTGCCGCTCCTTGAACTGCTGCTGCTCCTGAGAAGCCCCTCTACTATGCTGCCCTGCCACGGAGCCGCCAACTATGGACTGAAATCTCTACAAACTGTGAACCGAAATAGACCTACAAAACGAAACACAACAAAACGAAACGAGGGATTCAGCTAGTCATATGGATGACTTCATCAATAAACTATTAGTATTTTACAGTCACATATAATCAGTTTTGAGCGAGCAGTTTACTACTGTACTATAGTGAAAAGCAGAGACGCTTTCTGGAGAAGGTTCGTTTTCAAAGATTGGCTCCTGTCTTCTCCCAACCCCCTTCCACTTGCCAGCCTCTGAAGGCAGTCATGTGGTTAATCCTGGCCAGATGTCACTTTGTGTTTTGCTGAGATGACATCCAGAGATAACGTCCAAGCTGGAGGAAACTGATGAGATCTAACGAGCCAGTATCTCACTGTCACACTGAGGGGAGACTAGGGAAGGAGGGGAGGTTATTATTATATTTGGCCTCATTCAAAAGAACTTGAAGCCACAATCAGAAACTACTTATTGTTCCCATGCAGCTGCAGACTGCGATAACCACCAACATGGCCATGGAAAGACATAGAGCGTAATTGTGCTAACCTAGAATTATTTACTAATTATTTCATGCAGTACTATCCTGTTCCTGGCCACTCCCCCGCAAGCTCTGGGTTCTGATGTTTATTAATTTATTTAGACACTGGGTAAACACATAGAAAGTTTATTTTGGTCTTTCAGTTGCAGAGGCTACAAAGTCCAAGACTGGGTGTTGGTATCTGGTGAGCGCCTCGGTGGCTTCATAACATGAAGCTGGAGGGGGACTTAGAACTGTGTGGAAGAGGAGAAACACAGGAAGTGCCCTTGCTTTGTCACAACTCACTTTCAAGGTAACTAATTCAGTCCTATGAGGTGAATTAACCCAGTCCCATGAAAAAGGTATTAGTCCATTCATGAGGCTTGTGGAGCCCCAACCCAAGCACCTTCTCCTAAGGCCCACCTTCCAGTACTGCTGCATCAGGGAAACAAGGCTCCAACCCATGGCCTTTGGGAGACACATTGAAACTGTAAGGAGGCACTGCAGACTCTCCTTTGAAGCAGGTATGGCTCATAAACAGCAAACAAAATATTTCAAGAGTGCTCCAGGTACATTTACAGATTTATGCTGGGTTGTCTACAGTTTTCTGGGTTGAACTTAAAAGACTTCCTGTTGGCTGTTACCAGAAAACCAGAGTCACAGTTTTTGGGGTGTGTTAACTCTTCTAGTGCACCTCCCAGTTGTATCTATTTTTCTTTCCCTTCATCCACAGTGACTGCCCACCCAATGACTTCTGAAACTTCTAAGGTTTTTTACATGGGTCTTAAGTTTTGCTCTCGGTGATCACTACCTATATAGTAACCACATGATCACATTTCATATTCTGATGGTTTTATTAACAAGTATATAATACATATACTGCATACTGTATATAGAATATGAGGACTGTACAGTACAAATTTATGTTCACAGTTTGACATGACAAAATGTCATTACTCAATTCCCATTGGACTACAGAGTAGAAACAGAGAAGGTACATTAAACATTCACATCTTTAGTAAGAAAGATTACCAAAATGTTTCAGTATTTGCAAGTATACTAATGCATGCTAAAAACCTTTACCCATTCAGTCTTATTAGCTTATAAAATATATTACACTTTATTAAAAATTTCTGCATAGTTTATACAAGTATTAAAGTACTGTAAATGTAATAATCCTGCTATACTTGCAGGTATGGTTTAAGAGATGCTAAGCAGAAAGATTATTTTGACTCTCTAACATTAAGTACATAACAGAAAAAAAAAGTGCTAGTATTTGTAAAACATGTTGTAGCCCTCGTTTAATGCATGTAAAATGGCTTTGTAAATGTATTACTTAAGTGAATTTGCAATCATTTAGAAATTGTTAACCTTGACCAAGAAGAGAATAAAGACAACTCTGAGTTCACGTATGACAGCAATTTCTTCAAGACAACTGTGTATTTTCAAACCAAATTATTTTAAAACCTTCGATCTTTGAGATTGTCTTTAAAACAATCTAATCAGGAATGATGGGTAGATATACAATATCAGCAATATAGTCTTTCAAATTCCATATTAGTGCAATACTGATAGTGCAGATGGGTGTTTAATAAAACATACATATACATATATAGGTCCTCTGTATTCTGTTCCAAGGCTCTTGAAACTGCTGTGTATTTAGCATCTCCTTAGTTGACTATAGCTATGCTGCAAATACATTCTCCAAACCAACCAATTTAGAATGTTAATGCCCATTTTATGATGTAGACTTACATTTCAAAACTCTGAAATACGATGGATTCTGATTTAATTTTTATGACTTTGCCAAGATGACATGTGAGCAATAATTGAATAAACTCTCTAGTAAACAATTTATATGACACCAACTTCATGTTTATAAATCATTCTGAGAAATTTAACATAGTGCGATTAAATCACCATTGATAGTAACATGGCACATCATTAAAACCACAAACTTCAGGGCATGTTATCTCCTATCTGAGGTCTTCCACAATAACAGCTAAAATGACTACGACTAAATTTCTCCACTATCATAGTAAAATACAAATATATATATATATAAAAGAAAAATTTGGTAAGGGCCAATTGGTAACTAAAAAGCATCAGACCAGCAAAAGAATAGAGAATGGCGTCTCTGGGTTGCACTTCTCTCCGAGTTAAAATGGATCTTCGTTAATGAACTGTTAACGGGATCTAAGTAAGCTTAGTAGTAGCATACACAGTCTTTTGAACAAGATTTAAATATACCATAGCGTACATCAAATTTCATGAGAATCCATGAAGCTATTAATTGCACTCCAGACTCAAAGCTCAATCCAAGATCAATTCAGTCCTTTTCTGTTCCTCTTCTCTTGTATATGCATTGGAATACAGACTGGTTATCTTCACCCAAACAAAAACACTCCTTGCATGCCTCCTCATTCTTCAGTGTGTTTTGGAAGAATCACTCAACAACACGAACACTTTGGCATGAATGAGACTAAGCACTGACAATACAGACCACACCTGCTTTTCGAAGAGCCATTTCTATGCCTTGGTTCATGTTACAGTTGCACAAAAGAAAACAATAGCCCAAGTAGCACATTTTAATAGTCTTGAAACATTTTGTAGTGCTAAGGAAAAAAACCCAAGTGCCAAGATAACAAATTTCTTTACATTTCTCACTTACATTTCCTTTCAGCTGGTTCACAGGGCTGAGCGGGACCTCTCAGATGTGCAGTCCCTATCACTTTCAGCATAGCGCAGTCAAAGCAAGCTCCCCACACAACTCGCAGGCCTCGTCACTCGCTCGTTGTTTAAGATCATGTATTCCTCCCAGCTACGGGTACATTGGATCCTGAGTTGTAGCCGGGATGGATCTGCAGGATTCCGTTACTCTCTCACGCTTCCTCCTTCCTTCACAGAGGAACAAAGAGGTGTTCGGTTTTGGTTTCTATGCATCCATGTTTGACCACCACTGCCCATTTTCTTCAAACTTGAGACCAGTGGCATTTCTCTGTGTGAATTATTTTTACTGGCATTTAGACTACTGTGCTCAAAAGCCTGCTTTTGAAAAACTTCCCCCATTAATGGTGTTATTTATCTTCAACATAAACACGAGTCCTTTTTTTCAGCTTGTTCTTCTGACAGGATACTGGACAGTGATGCGAAGTGACTAATTCCAACAGTAAACTTCTGGGAACATTCACGCTACATATATAAATCCCTGAACTGTGGTGTTCTATATTTTTCAGAAATCTGCCCCCAAAATAAAGGTGTATGTGCTTCACAACTACTTCTATTTACAAAGAGTGCTACTCAGGTCTTACTTGGACAAATCTAAAGCTTTCGCAGATGCTCATTGAGGACGTGTGCCACAGACACAAATGACAACCAATCTGGCCCCTGACAGCCCACACGGAGGTTGCACGTAAAAGCTATGTGATTAACTTGGTATGGGAATAGAAGTACCACTCAACATTTCCCTGCTTGCAAAGTTATGTAACAAGTTGGGTAAAAGGAAGACCATCGCATGCTTTTACCCGGAAGATTTTTACTTTTTACTACTGGGCAGATACTTTTGTGGTTTTGTTACCCTCCATGCTCGATGGTCCATACTAAGGATACTGGAGGAATGGAGATCTCTCTGTGGGTGACCCACGGGTGTTCGGTTTTGCAGCACGTTTGTGCACAGCTGAGCACGCATGGAAACTGAAGCGCTCTGGTTGGCACTGCGTAGCTAACACAGTGTGCACACCAGCAGCTTCCTCCTCTGCAGCCCCTGCTCCCTGCCCCTCTGCTTCTCATCCAAGCCATGGAAGTCCAGCATTCATCTCTCTTGGAACTGCTACTCATCACCCACCTAATGAAACAGCTCTGGCTCATCTCCTAATGGTGGCAAAGCCCTCCACGTGGGCTGCAGGCCCAAAGGGCAAAGGTCTTGATTTAGATGAGGTGATAATCCAGGTTCTGACGCAAGCTGTGTGAAGGACCATAGCAGAGGTGACTACACTAGCCTGATGCCCTGCTCTGAGTCTTGCTAACTGGTGAGTGGGAACTACTTTCTTCGTGCTGCTGACCGTAAAATGGGATCACGGTGCAGAGAGGTACGACTGTCTCTGGCAAGGACTAGCAGGCTAGATACTGTATTTCTAATACATTTACTTTGACATTCTTTTGAGGAATACATGGAGAAGCCGACAATTGGTTATGTTAGCTGACATGTTCCCTTGTTCTCATTACATTAAATGTATCTGTAAGAAGGGTTTGCTTAGCATCCCCGGAAAAAAAAAAAAAGTGTTCACATTCTTTAGGTCTGACCCGTGATAAGGAGAGGGAGGATTAGAGAGTTATCAACTACTGACCATATGGAAGTTTTGAATGATATAAATTCAGATTCAGACCAGCTGAACCAAAATTAAAACGTACATGTAAAAAATGAGTTAGATACTGGGAAGGAGGACAGAGAGAGCCAGGAGAGTGGGGAGTCCGAGACCAAGGCTTTCAGACTAGCATGTGGCGTTTCCTATGTAGGGCAAGATGGTCAGAACGGGAGAAGCTGCGGTCACAGTCTGGACACTGGAAAGGTTTGATTCCAGTGTGTTTTCGGAAATGTCTTGTGAGTTCATCAGACCGAGCAAACTTCCATGTGCATCCTTCCCATGTACATTTGTAGGGTTTTTCTCCTGCAAAAAGGAAAAAAAACAAAACCCAAAAGCTTAATTTTTTTTTTTTTTGAAGACAGTAAAGGTAAAATTTTAAGCTAATGTTCTTGAAAAATACTGTTTCCAAGATGAGGTCATACATGTGTCCTTCAACAGTACAGTGCTTCATAAACCACTACAGGGCAAGCAAGAAAACACGGAATTAATTCTCTTAATGTTTTAACTGACTTGCTGCCAACCCTCCCCCCCAACTACACACACATTTTAGTCTTGATTGCCAACTCTTTTTTGTGTTTTGTACTAGGGATTGAACCCAAGGCCTGCACACTCAGCTCTATCTCCAGGCCTTTTTATTTTTTTCAAATTTTGAGACAGGGTCTTTCTAAGTCGCCAAGTGGGACTTGAACTTGGGATCCTCCCGCCTGGACTTCACAGAGTACACTATCACACCCAGCTATTTCCAAGTCTTAATCCCTCTCAGGAGCTTACTTATGCGTAGTAAGACGCATTAAGTGCAAAGCGAAAATTTCAGGGATTTTCTTATAGTTTTCTAAAAATATGAAGTTTCTATCCACTAAAATACCTGTTAGGGAATTCAATATCCTACTTTCTTTTTGAGTCTATAACAATCACTCCTGAGTGTATGTTTTAAATGTGTAAGTACTGAAAATACAGTAATTCTTCCCCTCCTTTCAGAAGCCAGGTTCCTATCCTGTCCTCCTGTAGGAGAATTTGAGTTACAGGTGAGCAGCGGAAGACCCGAAGTGGGAAAGTGGTGGGGAGGGCCAGCATACACAGAGGCCGACTGTAGTGAGACTGGAATTTCACACCAGACACCGGTGAGATCAACCATCCTTCACAACATTCGTGTACGATTTCCCACCAACACACTGAGGAACACTGGCACCAACTGTGCGTTTTCTCAGCCTATGTCACAACGTTGCTATGCTCTGGCTGTTTACTCTCTGTATTCAATATTGACCAAGACGGGAGAGCTCCTGGAACAAGTATGGTAAGCAATGCCACAGCAGCTCCCTCCACTTAAGTATGTTCACTTTATTTCCTTCAATGACACTCTTCTGTTTCTATGAAACTATTCCGTTTCTTTGCTCTGCATGAGAGATGTTCTTTGCTGTCATACATTTTATCATATACATATGTTAAGAGAGCCTAGAACAAGGCCAGCTCCTTGACAGCTCCAGCAGTCAAGGCCCCACCCCTTTCTTTACCTTAACTAAAGAAGACAGAACTACAGGTAAGTGTGAGGGGTCTGCCTGCAGGATTACACTAAATTCATTCTTATGATTGCAAAGGTTAATCACTCACATGAAACTATTCTTCACGACTAACAGAGACATCTTTTGATGACTATGACAACTTTGAGGTGAAGAAAACTTCCATTATTCAGACCAAGTATCCCTTACCCCAAATGCTTGGGACTAGAAGTGTTTCAGATTTCCTTTCTTCAGATTTTAGAATAAAATCTGCACAGGCTTTTGTAGTTGAATATCCCTAAATCCAGAAATCCAAAGTGCTCCAAAAATCTAAAACTTTTCAGCTGCTCTGTTGGTGCCTGAAAAGTTATGAGCTTCAAAGCATTCTGGATTTCAGAGGACAGCTGCTCGGCCTGCATCAGCCTTTGAAAGCCAGAACTGCGCACTTACGCATCCTATACTAGTACTTCTTTAGACAGATGAAGTCAGGCTGCAGTTTCTAGTACCTGTGTGCGTTCTTCTGTGTGCTTTCAGGTGGGAGCTTTTAGTGTATACTTTGTTGCATCCGTCATAGTCGCATCTGTGTATCCTCCGCTTCCTCTGTGTATCTGGGGATTCCACAGGTAAAGGTCTCTTCCCGGGCTGCACTATGACTGAAGGGTGATTCCTGTGAAAGCCAAGGTTAAAGCCAAGTGTTAAGCAAAGTGTTTCCTTTTCTTCAGCTAGCTTAGAGCATTAACAACATTGGGCAAAACCACACAAACAAAAAAACCCAACAAAATGAAAAGAAATTAGCTGATCAACCCAGGAAGCACTGCTATATTCATTCAACAAACATTTAGCGAGCACCTACCATGAGCCAGGCACTGTGCTTGGCAACCGGGACACAAAGATGAATAAAAACAGGGTTCCTGCCCTCGAGAGCTCATACTCTAGGGGGAGACAGACACGGAGATAAGTAATGACAGCAAGAAGGGTTAGGTGTTATGCTAGAGGGAGGTGCCAGAGTGCTGGGAGAGGCTCTTTGCCACGGTAAAAACCTGTGTGTAGAATGTCATAGTGCAAGGCATGCTGAGCACTGTACTACACATTTCCACAGGCTGTACTAACTTTCCTGATGGTTCTTTAGGAAAAAAATGAGAAGAGTGTTTTCAAATCCTACATTTCAGGCAACCACATTATACGATATGTATCTATCTCTTATCCTTTAGGTAACTAGTATTTATTTAGTTTGTATCCCTTAAAGACTGCCAACGCATGTTTAATTTTCAAATGCTGGCTCTTTCGGCACTGGTGTCTTCACACACTTGATCCTTTACTGTCACTGCTGCGTGAGGAGGAGCCCCAGGGCAGCCCCGGGGAGGCCAGGATGCCTGTCACCCACCACACGGACTCCCCACGTGCCTGACACCTCCCACCTCCCTCCTTTCCCTCGTGTTCCTGGGTTCGCACAATCTTCTAAAGGTGAATCTGAATAAAATCCTGCAGGATAGGCTTACTATATACTGTCTTTTTCTCAAAAAGAAAGGTGGCAAAGAGAAAAGGCAAGCTGGGAAAAGCATGCAGGAAAAAGCATACTTTCAGGCTTCTCTACTGATTAATATCTATCATTAAGAAGTTCTAATCCATTTGTTTACTTTCCGGACGACTCGAAACATTACAAGCATTTGTCGCTGGCCTCCAGCTATCAGGACTTACTTCTTTTTGAAATCTTTTACTTCTTTTTTAAACTACAGCTCATAAATGCCCCAAGAATGTGAATGAGTGTGTAGGGGGAGAAAAGGTTGGTATAAAGGAAAAAATACTTTGGTGAGGCAGACACTCAGGCTTGCTTATAAGAGCAAGATAAATACACAAATTCAGCTATGAAAATCGAAAGGGAGTCCCTGAAATGAGACTTGCTTTTCATCTTGGTAAGAATTTTAGCACACATCCCTTGTCAATGACTGTTTCCAGGCATGATAAGCAGTGACTAGGAAAAGTGTAAAAGATGCGCTTGTTTTAATCTACTTTACTTCTCATACTTTCACTGAGAAAACTGCCAGCTGAGCATCACTTTACCTCCTGCCCTGGGGCCTGAAAGGGAGGAGCACAGAAGGATGAAACAGTCAAGTTATCAACACAGAGAAGTGAACCTGAAGCAGTTTGGGGGAAAAAGCAACAAGAACTTCAATCACATCTCTACAAATATAGAGAAGTCAGAGTTTTACAGACTGACACAGTTTTTTAAATGATACTAAAAATTTTTTTGGTTAAGTTTTTCAATTACTTATAACCCCTTAGTAAAAAGAAAGCTATTATTTTATTTTTTAAGTTTGAGAAGTAAAATGTTGGGGAAGAAATTTAATGATTAACTCTATGCCAGGGTCTTTGGGATACGCAGTTTCCTCTGTAGAACAGAGACGGTGACAACGCTGGCCCTGGAGGTACCTTGGAGAAAGGGTACCCTCCCAGAAGGCTGCTGTGAGCACTGTACACGAAGAACCTGCAATACACACCCACAACTAAACAGGGACACCTGACCCTTAAGCTTCATATATGTAAATAAATAAAAATAACAAAAGGCATTCGATACACCGTCAAGAGCCCTTAAAAATCATCCTAGAGCTCTACCTGTGGGATTGGGATCAAGCCGATGGATTTCAAAGCTATAAAGTCTGCCTTTGAAAGGGAAGGACTTCCTGAGACAAGTATTGCTGGGGCTGCCTCACTGCACTGGGACTGGGCACTTAGTTCCAAGTGATTTTTTCCTGGCTAGCTGGTTTCCTATGTGGGCTGCTACTGGGCTCACTCCAAGACATTACTCAATCACATCTGTGAGAGAAGCACTTAAAGAGTCTATGTCCCACTTGTGGCTAATCTCAATTTTTTTGAGAAGCAAAGTGCATTCTTAGGTCAGCATTCAAATAAGCACATTTCTCATTAGTTATTAAAAGCCACTGAGTATGAGATCACCAGAAGAATATTACTTAAAATAGAAAAGAGTTTTCTCTTGAGCAGTATTCAGATTATAGGAGACTGCCCTTAAATATTCTTCTGTAATTCACAATAACCTAAACTTCCGCCCAACACTTTCTCAGTCAATGGATCCCTCCCTACGTAGGTGCTTAGCTTTATGTAGTTTCACAGATTCTTTTCACTACTCGCGCAGGATTGCAAGTCATGTCATGTCGCTAGCTACCTTGCCAGAGAGACCCCTCACAATGAAAGAGTTAGTTCAGCCTACAGGGTATGTGCATTCTGTGTTTGCTTTCACCTGGTGCATGTACAGATGCAACCACTCTGCTATGGGCAAGGTGGCTGGGAGAGCACATTCTGAAGCGGGAGGCCAAGCCTAGGTCTCCCAGGCAAAGCGTGATCATAGGAGGGTTACCTAACGTCGCCTAGTTTGCTTCCTCCATGCCTGTTGTAGGGAAATGCAATGACTCCTTTGAAAAATTTGGAAAAGTGTTGTTTTTTTGATGGGGGGAATATACAAGTGTAAGGGCAATACAGTCCAGCTCTAAGGGACGCTTTTCTGTTCTAACTGGATAAGCAGATGCATTCTCTGCCTCATCTACTGGGGAGTGTATGACAATGCCCCCCCTAAAATACTAATTTGGTGATGCTACTATATGAGTTATGATGAATATACCTATAGTATACTTTTTTTAAAAAAATTATCTACAGTATACTTGAAGTCTTCAGACTAGCTGTTATAAAACAGATTTAACATTCTGCTGCAAAGTTGCATGAGGGAGAGGATGGAGAAGATAAAGTTCGGCAAGACATTTATTCAAGTTGGAGAGAAGGTGACATGGGAGGAAGGTGACAGGAGGGGTTGTTCCCTTTGTAGCAGGAAGCTGGTCGCTAAGTCCAATGTCAAAGAACCGCAATACAAGATGATTATGATAACAATTACCACAAGAAATGACAACAAAGAGGAAATGGGCAGCAAGATGAAGTGACTAGCCCAAGGTCATACATCTGATGGAGCACAGGGCTGGAGCCAAAGGCCATCTTCTCAGCTACTGCAAACATAGCCTCCAGAATAAGCACCGGGGGAAGTCCAGGACCTTTCCAGTGACCAACCCTACGACTGGTATTACTTAACTCACGTGTGGCTCGGTCCTGTTAGAGTATGTGCACAGATGCTGACTGATCCAGTACAACCTTCCCATTAGTAGGACGGCAGTGCTATAGGACAGTGGATGTGCTATGGCCCCAGAATTAAAGACCCAAAAATAAAGAGATGTTTCAGTGCTGAATGTCTGAGTTGCACAGACCAGCTTCTGTTGCCAGCACTGTGTCAGGACGTGTTCTGGAGTGTCTCTCGTGGGCCTGTGGGTGTTCTACAGATTTTCAGATGTTGCCGTCATCGATCCACTACACTTGGTTAGAAGTAACAACTGGAAGGATCACGTGTGCCCATGTGACAATTTTTCATGATCTAGACTTGCAGGAAATATCTAGAACACCAAGTTCCATCCATGCAAAGATCTATATGTATGCACAGAAAAACCACGTAAACAGTCTGAAGGTTGAAAAACACCAAAAATCGTGTCTGTGGTAAGGCACAAAATCTTGGGTGATTACCCCAATGAAAGTTGACAAAACTGTTGTCACGCACTGTTCACGTAACAGAGAGTACAAGGTTACTGGGAGAGATTCTCCCCTCTTGACCAGAGGTCCTGAACCACAGTGCCCAGTGGCCGCCATATACCACAAAACATTCCTGGTCATCCACAGCACACCACGTGTTTGCAATCTTGTGCTTCCATTCTGGGCCTCAGCATGCGTGCTATTACACAAAGTCTGGTTACACCTTAATATACTTACTCTTGCAATAACGCCTGCGGGGGGGACACTGAGTTCATTAAAGGGGGTGTCATTTCTTCAGGGTAATAATCTGTCCTCTGTGGTTCGGTCCCAGGTTCTATTTTAATTTTTTTCTGTAATATGGGCTTCTCATATGATTCAATTACAGGTACTAAAAAATAAAAATAGCAAAGTCATTCTATGTACAAATTATTAATATCAGCTTTTAAAAATTCACTGTACAGCTCCTATCAACATTGATGTGTGAATATTTATTTGCCCATGGTAAGATTACAACAGTAATGACTGTTAAGAGATTCTCCTTTGTCCCAACTAGTGTTTTGCCAGCAAGCAGCAAACACAAGACCTAGACTTCTAAGCCACAAGCCTCATAATGATTCTTCCTTATAAATGTCGGCTATGTCTTTTAATCCCTCTGACACCAGTTGGTAAACAAGGTGGCTTTTAAGAGCCAGCAGTTACCATCACGATCAAGAAGTATTTACTAAATGTCCTCTGTGTGCAGAACCATTTGGTATTCAATAAAGTAAAAGTGAAGTCAAGCTTCTTGCTATCTCTAAGCTGACAACTGTATAGTATTAATAATCATCTTGGTATTCAACAGACAGCCCGACTTGTGGGAGTTCTTCCAATAGCGACACTTCAAAACAAGTAACAAGGCAGTGTCTTAGATGAATTCCTCTGGAGAGCTCAGGGCTTTGTGTTATGCTTCCCCACCAAGACTGGGGGCAGACCTGGTATATGAAGCAGGTACAAAAGCATGGAGCTGTCCTGGTGCTTACCTTGCATGCTACTGCTTGAATTTTCCATCTCCTCTGACAAGGAGACCATGAGCGGCTGCTGGAGGTGGCTGGTGTACATAAAGGGGACGGGCTGAACCACGACTGGCTGGATGACGGGCAGGATGCCTGGGCTCCGGATTCCATGCCGTGTGAGGGCAGCTGCCATCACCGGGGGCAGCGGCATGCTGAAAGGCTGGACGCCTGGCGAGGAAGGTGAGTACTTTTTAATTGGCGGGCTAGAAGAAGGCATGCTCAGCCCCGGTGACGATCTCCGGTGCGAGGACGGGAACTTCAGGGAGGAGGGAGAATTCCCAGCAGAAGGTGGTGAACCACGCTTGTTCACCGTGAGGTCCACCGGCTCCATCTGTATTCCGTGCGACAGGCCTTCTGGGGTCTGAAAGAACTTATCAGGCAATGGTGTGGAGTAAATGACCCCGTACTTGCTGGACTTCATGGACTCCATATAATTAGATGGGTAGGACTATTGGGAAGGAAAAAAATAAGAAACTTGTAAACAGCCAAATGAGAAGTATATTATTTGAAATATAAGACATATACACACACATATAAATGTATATATATTGATCATATGGGCTTTAAAAAGATGTTGAGACAGATCCTTGATCCTTCCCAGAAAAGGCTATGAGAGAGGTGGTCTAGCAAGCATTAGAACTAAGGTCAATGCATTACCTTAGCAACTTTAATCTAATTCTAAGATTTCCACATCCAATGTGAGTGCTGATACCTAGAGGCAAGGTTTTACACAGGTCACGTCAACAATTGTGTAGGTCTTTATTGCTGGGAGTCAGCTTCAGACATCACCAAGAATCAGCCAAGCCACACTAACTTCATTGGTTTTCTGTGCTGACATCTCTAACCTGTGTAGGATACGTAACATTTCCCGTTTCTCACGACCAACTTCTGTATACTGAGGAGAAATGGAGCCACATGGTAGTTCTTTTTGATGGGCTTCTGCTAGAAAGCAATCCATGCCCAGGGAGGCCCACAGTCCTAGTCTGCGGAGGGTTGGCCTGGTTTTAAGAAATCTCTTCATCTCTGGAAAACCAGGGTGGTCATCTACCCTCCTCATCTGTGTACTCAAGGCCACCCTCTCTAGGGCAATTATGTCCTTGCCCCCAACTTGCAGGATTTGGAGGCAATACCAGCTCATGACACAACCAGGAAAATGCACCACTGGGGCCTTATAATTAAACAGCCTAAAAGCACTATTAATTAATTTCTTGGCTTCCCTGGCCCTTCCAATGGCCACTTCTGTGCGCTACAATAATTATGAGAGCAGTGATTCTGCCTGGGATTACTACTTGGAGATCACACTCTTTCCTTCTCCAGCCTAGACTAAACGAATTTCCATCTGGCTGTGCACTGTTATCATATGCTTGCTTTGGTCCGTCCTCCAGGCCAATGAGCATCAGACCACTCAGGAGGGGACCAGGAAGTCAAATTGTCACCACCTAACTCTGTCGTTATCTGTGTTGATGTCAGTTTCTCATCCTTACAAATTTTGTTTTCCTCTGACCTTTCTTTCTTTATCCAGATCATAATCTGTGTGACCTCCTGGCACAAGTAATGCCTGTAGTACGGTGCACACCTAACTGGGGGCACTGACAGTGCTTACAAACGGGACATGAGGGAGGAACACGCATTGCTTTAAAATAATTACGTGTTTACTTCAATGTGCATGCAGGCAAAGCTATACTTTTCTTGGTCATGAGAGGAAAGTTCCTTTAAAAAAATGTATTCCTAAAAATCTACGAAAGAAAGCATGAGCAATGACTAACTGTTAGAAATGCGTGGGCTCCCATACCGAAACCTGTCAAGGTGGTACTGAACGCTCACCTCCCAGGAGGTTGTGAGGTTGAAGTTAAAACTGGATCTGATGAGATAACCTCTATAATGAGCTTAACATAAGGCTTGGCACACCGGGCTGTCATAGAGTCCCTTCCTGTCCCTTATACAAGAGCTGCATGCTGTCCTGGGCCGTCAGGCTCCCAATAAGGCTTCTGAAACTTCAACATGCACTCAAATTCACCTGGGCATCTGGTGAAAATGCACAGCTTGAATCACTAAGGAGTAGCCCAGGGTACCGTAGACCGCTTTTTGAATATCAAGACTCTAAATGACAGAGGTATAGAATAAAAGTAGTAAAGGTCAACTGAAAGGAGAGAAAAGAATTCTAAATATTAATACTACTACTTAGAAACATAGGCCTGAAGGATATAAAAACCAGGAAATACAAGACATATACATTTTTAATGCCAGCTTTGAGGTTTGTGCTGTTAAAGATTAAAGGGGGAATAGATTTACTTTTGAACCAGGCACACACAAGTACAATACAAAGTGAGAGGTCCAAAATATATGGCAACATTAACATTAAATATTAAATATATTTAAATTTAAATATTAAAGTAGGCATTATTAAAAGTACAAGGCTCATTAAAAGTATTATAAATTATGCACCATGAGGGTTGCAGGAAGTAATTAAATATACCAAAAAGAAAGTTTTCTCCTAGTTGTAAAATTAAACGTGTTTCACACAATTCTCCGAAGGGAAAAAATTCTGGTACTACCACATAACTTGAGGAAACTGGAGACAGCATTGTTTCCATTCACCAAAATGTGGCTTCTTTCTGATTTTGAGCCCTGTTCTTCCTAGGTCTTCCTTATGACCTAGATTTTAAGGCCAGCAGTTACTGGCAGCTACATAGGAAGTAAAATGAGGACATACTTTTATTGCTGTCCTTGCTGGATTTTTTCTATCCATGGCGTGAGTTTAAGGCAAGTAGGAATTGAGAATCTGGGGACCCTGCAAATGTAGTAATATTCTCAGGCTTCTCAAGCCACGGGGAAAGAAAAAGCCACCCATGAAAGTACGTTTTACAAACATACACACAGTTGCATCGAAGAGTTTGCTCTCCAACGCGCAGCCCCACCCTTACACTGAATGTGTTTATTCTCCAGTACCAGGCTAAGCACAGGGAGACACATTTGGATAGACACCCAGCCCTGAGCATGTAATTAACTATTTCCAGTCCAACTGCCTCACAAAAAGGTGAAGAAATAGGGTCCTTCAAACTGGCTCAGTGGCAAATTTCCTTGCAGTGTTTACCAGAACCTTCTCTAAGGCAGGTTTAATTATTTGGGTGGAGCACATAAGCTAGTTCATCAGCTGGTGACAATCTGGTTCTCCACCGCGTAAGGACTGATACCACGCTCCATCTGGGTGTGCCTCAGGCAGGCACACCCTGGTAACAGTCGCGCTTCCCCCTGTTCTCGTCCATTCCTATCTTCTAGCTAAGCAATGCAAACAGGCGTGGCTGCCCTGGCCTCAAATCCAAATCGGAGGCAAGTGTTGATGAAGCAGAACGTTTGTCTGTGGCCACAGATGGACACCCAGTGTCCCCTGTGTGCAGGAACGGAACAGCCCAAAGACCAGACACAAGCACCGCCCCCCCTGCCCCGCCACCAGCCTTACTAGGGGAAGTGCTGCGTCTACTTCCCCAAACCATCTGCTCCTAGGACAAGTGCCTTCCTTCAGTGGTAACATGCATTCAGATGTCCACACCTCCTGTGGGTACTTATTTGCTGAAAAGTGTTTCCCACTGGCCTGTGAAGGAGACTCATTCGCTGAAGCATGGAGATATTAACTCACTGTCTTCACTCCTGACAAAGCTAAGGATAATACCAATTCTCAATCTTGAAAAACTAATGAGGACAAAGAGCACAGGCTTGGGTGACTTCTCAAATGTGTAGCTATCACTTTATACTAAAGTGAGAATTTCTGTAATTTCTTATTGCATTTGGAAATGTCCTGGTGAGTTTCCCACGACAGGATAATTTAAGAGAGTATCCATTTCTGCAAACAGGGAGCAGAGACAGGCACACAGAGGAATCCTCAGGCCGAGGGTGGGGCTCGAGCCAGGAAGGTGGGGCACACTCTCTGGAGAGAGCCCTGTCCCGCAGCTCTGGGTAACCAGAAGTAGAAGTTTCTCTTTCAAAAACTGCCAGAAGTTTCTGTTAGGACAGAACAAGGCAAACATTTAGTACTGCTAAATGCGTAAGGAGTCCACTGGACGAGGATATTCACTAACAAGAAGAAGAAAAAACAAAGATCATGCTTCCTTCATTTCTATAGGAATAGACAAAAAAATCTGGGTAGTTTTTATACAGTTTGTTTTCTTTCTGACCTCCCGAATCAAATCCTATTTTAACCTTTTGAGAAATGGTAAAAACAATCTGTTCACACGTGCATTCTGTACACATGCTATTTCATATTTTACTAATTAAAAAAAAAAACTCAGGAAACTGCTGGTGATTCTGCCAACACCGGGTGGAGTAAAAGCAGCTAAGGCCCAGGGCACAGACCTGGGGCCCACTGGGAGCTTCACGCTGGAAAAGCCTCACAGCCCGGGCTGCACAGAGAATGCTGGGAAAGCTTCTGTTCCGGTGAGGGCAAATCGACCCTTCCCCCACACCACGGTAAAATACCAAGTGAGCGCCCGCTTCTGCTGGCTTCTCTTTCTAATGGGGGTGGTGGTGGCGGTACTATATATTTTTATTCATGTGAGATTTAAAAAAAAACCCTTACACATGTCCTATGTCGCCTTCAAGTTTACAACATATACTTAAACAGTCAAAGACTTTGACCCTCAGGTCAGGCTGAATTGAAAAAAAGGGTAATAAATTAGATTCAATATACTCCACATTTGAGAAAGCAGGGAAGACACAATTTGAAGAGTTAAGAGTGGAAACTAAAGCTTTCTATTCAATTTTCTTTATTCTTATTTAATTTTTTAAAGTAATTACAACTCCGTATTTCTCAAATGTTTCAATTAATGGCGGTTTTGCTGAATTCGGACTAAACCCCTTCATTGTAAGGACTGACATTAACTGTTGGTGAAATGTCTAATTACATTCTTTAAGTGCCAAGGGGAAAACTGGCACATGAAGGAGAAAAAGACTATTAATTGCAAAAATACTTATACATATTTTAACTTCGTATATTAATACAAGCTACAACATCACAAGTTTAAGTTACTTGCAATTCATTTTATTTCCCATTTTTTTCAGTTAAGTGCATTTCCTTGCACTTAATTATTTCATACCAATTTAGCAATGTGGATCTTCATTTTAGCTTGAAATTAGGCTCTTGAGCCATATTTTCATGCTTGATTAAAAGCACTGGAAGTACCCCGAAGAGTAAAATGCATCACTGAAGGTTCTGCATCATTTATAAAATTAATCATATTCCCAAGTACTAAAAACCTATTCACATTTCAAGAATATAATTAATGGGGAAGTTTTTTACTTTAATTTTCCTCTAAGATGATCATGCAATAGTTGGGGGGGGAAAGGGGCTGATAAATGACAGGCCTAAATAACATCAGAAATAAATTTAGTTCTTTGACTAATAAAATTCTTATTGCTCAGTTGTTATATTCAGACATGCGATTATCTAGTTATCATGCTGCAAATGTTATTTCCTTAAAGATGTTCTGATTTAACTTTTCATTTCAGACACTGGTAAATACTTCGCTGGCTTCGTAACAGCCAATAGCCACTCTGTTCCAAGGGCCTCACAGTGACCCCCACGTCTTGTCTAAACATTTTTGGCAGGAATCTCACAGCCCATGCATAAGGATGACCTAATTTTGCAAGCGTGTCATTACCGACCTTCAGATATAGAACTCAGGCCAAGTTTTTCCCTTTGTGAATATTTTCCAAGTCCATGGAAGAAAAGCGCAAGGCAGAGCGGGAGCCTGGCCTTGTTCGGTGTTCACTAAGCCAGATCCCCTCAGTCTATACCATGGCTGTTTTGAAGTCTCTCTGTCACCCATGCATCATTCCCCATGACACACGTCTTGTACCTACAGAAACACCTGGACTAATTCCGAGTCCCCCGGTAGTCTGACAAGACCTAGGGGCCGGGTTCACAAGAAGGGCTGGCTTGGCACTAAGCGTTAGAAAACAGTGCACATCAATTCCCACCGGGCCACACTCTTCCAAGCGAAACTTGATTCTGTCCTCGGCCCTGTTCTTTCTCTTGTTTCGACACAGCCACCTTTCATACAGCCTCAGCACCATGTGGGTGTTGCCCATGGGTTTTAAGCAAGTCACTTTATTCTTAAATATCTTTGCATTCAAAGTTGAGTTTCTATAAAACTGCTTCCATGGGGACCAGGTTCCCTGGCGCTAAGTTCCATGCTGATCCTATCTTGAGGGGTGTGGGGTACTAGACTTAAGCAAGCACAGGTCCTAGTTGTTAAAGGATGCACAACTGCTAGGAGGGAACGCACCTTAGTGATGACTGGGGCCTCCCCGAGAAACCGCACGCCCAACGCCTGTCAAGTAATGAGCAACTTCAGGGGAAAACGCAACACGCGATGTTGTCATCACTCGGGATAAACAGGGAGAAGTACTCAAGTTTGGAAAACTTACCACCGAGACAGGGTCCATGGCCTCTTGCTTGACAGGGACTGGGTCAAACATGAGCATTCTTTTAGTTAAACCTTCTAGGGTGTTCTGGTGTTCAGCCTAGAAAACAAAACAAGGTGTCCGTCTAAATCCTGAGGTCACTTTAGATATAAGGTAGTAAAAATATGTATTTATTTTTGCTTTTCTGAGACAGGGTCCCACTGTGTATTCCAGGCTGGCCTTGAGCTCGTAATCTTCCCGCCTCAGTCTCCCAAGTGCTGGGATTACAGGTGCCCAGCTTTAAACTAGTAAAAATAGAACACACTCCTTGCCCCACTTCCGCACCCTTTCATCTCTCCCCTCCCAGAATGGCTGGAACTGTTTCCCTTACCTATAAAAGATGCCATTTAAAAAAATTAAAACCAGCCTTGATGGTCATGATCTGGAAAGAGCCAACTGGAGTTTCCAACTCAAATGCATAAACGCCCCCCCCCACCCCCGCCGCTTTTTTTTGGAACAATATTTACAGCCCTTCTGAGCAGCAAGGCTTGCTGAGGATTGCTGTATGATTTAACAGAGATTTAGACTACACATGATTATTACACACCTTCCCTTTTTCCCTTACATTCATCACAGAAAAATCAAGGGGGAAAAAGACTAGCAAAAAGAAAACTTTAGAGCCAACTGTCTTTAATGACTTCTTTCTTTTTATCCTACCAAAACCTTCTTTCTAGGCAGGACCAGACTATCCAATGCAGTGCATCACAGTGTGAACAGAACAGTTAAGTCAGCCCTTTTTACCGAGCACTTGAATTGCTTCTAAATTTTGACCACCACAAACTGCCATGAGCCTTTTTACATCTGTGTCCTCCTGCCCATCCTGCACTCATCTCTAAAATAAGGAGAACTCTAATGTGAGAAGCACAGACATATTCTAAAACACTTTACTGGTTGCAAAATGACAGATTATTTTTTATTCTAAGTTGATTTAATTATTGAAGTAGAGTTCTTTCCATCTTTTCCCCCCACATTTACGTTTCTTTGGAAATCGTCCAGGTAGGTCTTGACACCCCCCATGACCTTTTTCTGTCTTCTAAACACTTTTCATACATGAAAAATTTCCTAGATTGACCTCTGCTTGAAGACGAGGCGACAGAGTTTGAGTTACTGTCTGTATTTCAGAATTAAAACTCCTCACATCTCCACAGTAGCACTCCTGTAGCTGGTTTTGCCTGTGCTCTACGGGTGGTCACACTACAGCACCCTTACACACAGTTATAGAAGCAATACTGCACGGCTCTCGTGCTTCACTGCTCTGCTGAGTCTCAGGACAACATGTGAATTCCATCCGTAACTCAACCTAAGGCCTGGACCTCAAAATTACATTTTTCTACATCACAGGATGCACTGTAATCTGCAAATATCAGGTGATACCAGGCTGCTCAAATCCATGGTGCTACTACCCTCTTATGTCACAAACCAACAGCCAGGGAAAAATGGATGATTTCATAATGAAGGATGAAAACCCTTTTGTGTTTTGGGATCTATTATTAATCAGCCCCAGCCCAGCAGCTGTATGGATGGATGGTCATGATTCCAAGAACTATTGTCCATGCCCCACATTGGCCCATAAACAAGAGAGGTGGGATCTCCTGCTTACATCACTAAGGTCAGCTATGCAGCAGCCCCACCCTTGGACAGCTGCTCAGCAGCAGCAGCCTCCCACCAACACCTCCATAAATTGAATTAGGTCTTACACATGCACCTATTCCAATAGACGGTATCTGGATGCAAATCCTTCCAAATAAGAGTACTCATATTTCTCAGGTGTGAAACAGCCCTTTGCTACCACAGCTAGCTTTAAAAATCAATCTCTTTGGCTGGGTATGGTGGCACATGCCTGTAGCTCCAGCACTTGGGAGGCTGAGGCAGGATTGCCACAAGTTCAAGGCCAGCCTGGACTACAATAGTGAGCTCAAGGTCAGCCTGAGCTACACAGGGAGACTCTATCTCAAAAAGAAAAACAACAGAACCCAATCCCTTCACCCTTAAATAAAACCCCGGTTAGAGGCAGTTTAAAAGGTAACAGCAGCCCACACCCTGTCTGAAGCGCATGTCAAGACTTGTCTCCTCACAGCTGTGCCGGAAGAGCTTCTGAGCCACGCAGGCATCTCCACGCAGGGTTACGCTGGCCTCCTGGCTGCCAGGAATTGCAGTGAAGAATAAACTAAGATGATGGAATCTGGAGTTCCTTTGGGTTCAAATTTTAAACTCTACCTTTCAGCTCAAATAGGCTTTAATGACTCTGTCAAATGCCTGTGGCAATGATCACTGAATCCATTTAGAAATGAATTACACATTAACCTGCTATCTCTTTTATCATTTTAGGTCATTATTTCAATCATTATTATCCTTTGATTTTTTTCTGTTTTATCTAAATGTAAGAAAACTTGTGCTTTGCAAGACTTGTAAGATTAAGAGAAATATAAACTCTCATGTAAACCACTGTTCCTATCAAAACCTAGTTTGTTTTTATTACAAAATACAAAGGCACATTTAGTTGTTCAGAACTGTACTTCAGAGTAATGCAAATGTTGATGAAGGAATATTTCTCACGATAGACCTATGTCAGCTAATAAACGAAGGTGGGGTGATGCAATTAGAACACCTCATTTGAACCTCCTAGCTAAATAATGCATCCCTGGATAAAAAAATGTGCGAAATTCAAATGTCACAAGGAATGGCACCCAATTCACTGTCCATCCACACATCTGACAGCACTTTGTTAATCTGGTAGCTTTAATGGCTTAAACGATTATACTTTTGGCGACAATCACAGGATATGAAACACAAGAAGATGAATGTCTGGAATGATACACCTTAAACTGCTAACCAAAACCTCTTGGGACTGGGAGGGAGCCAGCTTTACGTACCTGTGTGGTAATTTTAAGATTAATTCTATAATTAAAAGCTTTATAAACAAGAGAGGGAAACTAAGGAAGGAACCAAAGACGAGAATGAAACACATTAATACCCAACAGGCTTTTGCTTATTTATTTGCAGAGAAATTTCTATACTCTGTATCAACCACTTTTGCCATTGGGTTAGACTTCATGGGTTCTAACCTAGAACTAGAAGTGACTGCAGAGTGTCTTCCATATAACTGAAAAGTAACAAGTACTAGAAGAATTAGGGTCCCTAACCTTGGTGGCCTTTCTACCCCTGGGCAGCTTAGTGCTCTGGGATAGCATTTTTAATTAGAACTACAGTGGCAGCAATCTTAAGTATAGCCAGTAGGTGGCGCACTACAACAATCTTGGCGCCCAGGGCCAACTTCAGGATCTTTAAACCTGTGTCTTTTAACCAAGCTGAGGACTTCTGTTAATCACTTTATGTGGCTATCAGAGAGGAAGCCTCAGATGCGGTTGTTTTTCCTATTTTCCAATCATAAACATATTTACATCTTACGTTTAACCAGCTTAGCAGAAATGCATAAACTAAGCAATCCCAGGATAACCGACTGCTTTTAAAAGGAAAAAGGCAAAACTTAACAAAAAACAACTTTTAAATTACTGAGGTGTTTCAAAACCAAAATACAGGAATATTACCATTTCAAAATAACTTTTCATAATCGGAGCCACTATGATGCTATTTTACTGGAAGAACCCACAAAACTGAGTTTTCAAAAAGGAAAAGGAAGAAAAAGGTGGCTGCCACAGCGGTGCATGCCTGCCATCCTCCCACTTTGAGGCAGCGGGATGGCCAGTTCCCCTCCAGGGCCCGGATCCGGGATCAATCCCTAGCGCCGCAAAAACAGAGCAACAAAAAAAGAGCACACAATTTCCCTCCATACGCTCTTCACTTCTATTTTTCAGATATTAAAATGAGGGTTGGACTTCGGTGAAAATGCGCAACTGCGGTTACAGGTTAAAAGCTGGGTGAATCACTGACACGGCATTCGGAGGCAGTATAGCTGCGCTGCAAAGTCCTGCACGTGGGCCTGAGGCCCACTGGACAGCTGCTTCGTGAGGAAGACGCAGTCCCTCGTGGAAGGGGGGTTCTGATGTCACCAAGCCTCCTTGCAAAGCAGCTGGTCTGCCCCTCCAGGACTGCCCCTTCCTCAGCAGCGGAGGGAGAGGGAGTGTGCGAGGGAAGCAGCAGTTTTCGGTTTCTCGCGGAACAAAGCAGTGCTTGCCCGGCATTCGCCCTGTCTGTCTTACTTTCTTCCCTCACCCCCTCACAGGTTTCCTGCATGATTCTCCCCAGCCCAGCCCTACAGCTCCCGATCACCTGCTTCCCTCAAAGCAAACTTTTGTTTCCTAGCTGACTTCCGCCAGGAACACAGTCATGAAACCAAGGCCATCTGTGAGCGCTGTTTCACTCCCCCTCCCAAGCGTTTGGATTTTTAAAGGAGGCGCCCCCCCCCGCCCCTCGCCCCCCCCCCCGCTCCCCACGAACTTCAGGGGGAGACCTGGGCGTGTGTGCACACGCACGCCGCGTGCCTGTGTTTCTTGGCCAGAGGAGGGCCGGGCAGGCAAGCAGCGTCCCTGCAGCTAAACTTCCCTTCCTGAGAAACTTGCCTGTCTTCTCCACCCCAGGTCTTCAAAAGCTCTAGAGGGGTCAGGGTCAGTCACAGGGAATGGCAGTTGTCCTGCCCCAAAACACAGGGCAACATTTGAGAGGAGGCATTTTTAAGCTGGAGGCCTCGTGAAGAAAAAAGCTAAACGCCGGCACCTACCTGGAAATGCGTCCTGTTCCATACCTCCCAAGGGCTTCACCTACCTCAGTCTTCTACGGTTGGTCTGAAAGGAAATAAACTCCACGAGGTATTTCCAAATCTTTGCCCCTCATAAATTAGTTATTTTTGCATCAAATGTGTTTTGCAAATGGGAGAAGTTAATTATTTCGTTTCAGATGAAATATAATGATCCAGTGAGCAAACAATCCGCCCTCTCTCCTCTCCCTGCGAACAAGCCACCCAATTTTACTTTCCTGCCTCCACCCATCGGCTCCACCCCATGGAGAGTTGCCAAGGCGGGTCCAACTTGTCCAAACAGGACATGGCTTCAGATAAGACTCTGCCCACACCCTGTACTTCGAAAAGACCCAGTGAAGCAATTGATTTTGCACGTGAATAAGGACAGGTGCAAAGGTAACAAGCAAGCAAAATCCTACACATTTCCAAACTGGGGCCCAGCGGAGCAGACCTGGGGGCTTGGAAACCCAAGCCCTACTCCCCTTTAGGTCGGTTCTCAAGTTCAAGGGCACCTGGTTGGTAGCCTTCCACACCCTTCTTAAAGAAATTTCAGCAAACTCGAATCCTTTTCCCTGCTAGGGTTACACGCTTGTTTTCCTCCTTTATGCGCTCTGACAATTTTGTGCTGGCGTCTGAAGGGCAAGCAGCCTAAGATAAACTGAAAAATACCCACACCGCCTAATCCCGCTGTGCACCGGCTCCCAGGGCCTCGCCTAAGCCCTCGCAGCTCCTCCGCGGTGCGTTATATAATCAGATCCAGAAGGGCTGCGTGCGGCTCGGCCTCGCCCCCGCCCTCCGCGCCTGCAGACCCACCCACCCCACCCCAGCCCGCGGCCTCCACCCACCGCCCCACCCTGCAGGGAGGGGGAGGCGGCAGGGCCTGGCTCTGGGGCAGCAGCCAGTTCCTGGAAATTCCGGCCTGAGCGAGGCTAGCAGGAACCTTAAAAATAACCAGAAAGAACCGTCAGAGGGGTGGCAGTTCCCTCTGCTCCTGAGCTCCCGCCGGGAAAGTTTATCACAGCGCCACGCACTGATCCTTCGGGCACAAGAGCAAGAGCCGGCGCTGCCCCCCCCCGCCTTCGAAAGTCAGCAGAGCCGAAAGGCACAGCCCTGGGAAGCCAAGCCCTCCGCCCCCACGAGGCTGCCCCTCCCGGCCTCCCGGTTGCCTCATTTTCTGGTCACTCACCATGGAAACCTAAGGTCATCCGCGACTCCTTCCTCACCCCCCTGCCTTTCCACTTCTACCCTCGGGCCCGGCCCTGGGGGCCTCACCAGGGTGTCCCCGGAGTCCTTCTGCATGGGTCCCCCTCCGTCCTTTGCCCTGCACGGCGGCCCCACCCCGTGGCCACCCAGTTTCCAGCCCTTTTCTGGACTCCCGAGCTCACACACCCTCCTGGGGAGGCTCCCAGGGCTTGCAGGGGTTGGGTGCCCACATCTGTACCCCTTCCTGACCAGCCTCCCGGCTCCAACAAGTGCCCCGCGAGGCTGGCCGCCCTGCCTTCTCCCTCCCCACCCCGCCCCTTTGTTCATTTCTGGCCCGATGCTGGGCAACCAGGGTGGAATGCCCCCCTCCCCTTCCGGCTTATCTCAATCCTCCTAATTCTTCAAAGACCAGCTCAAGGCCCTCCCCACCCTGTGGCCAGCTGACTGCTGCCTGCACACATTGGCCTTATTTCCCCAAGGGTACGCCCTGGACCCCAGGACCGGGAGCACCTGGAGGCCAGGCAGGTGCCCGTCCTGAGGAGTGGTGCCACCCAGCTCCCTTTGGATGCACTTCAAGGCTGCCTCCGGCAATTAGTGGGGGTGAGGAAGGGCCTAGCTCTGTGTGAACCCAGTGAACCAAACTTCCTTAAAACAAATTACTAGCCAGGTGCGGTGGTCCATGCCTGAATCCCACAGGCTGAGGCAGGAGGGTTACAACTTAGACCCTGCCTCAAGAAACTGCAGAGTGCAAAGCCTCTGGGGTTCAATCCCCAGTACCAAAACAAACAAAAAAAACCAAAACGAAAAGCTCCAAAAACAAAACACCCACCACTACCCAAACCTGTTACTGCCCCTCACCCTACCCTTGCCTGTTATAATTCACTAAACAGTACCAACCTCAAAAACCATTTTATTCTCCACCTAGCAAGACTAGTGTCAAAGTCTCTACAGTCTGTCTGAAAATCTAAAATAGAAAAAAAAGAGGGAAGAGGAGGCAGCAACTGCAGGGGAAGGGTCTGTCTAGAGGAGCAACACTAGGTTTTTACAAAAGGATGCTCCTGTTGACCAAAGAAAGCAAGGGCTACCTGACATCACAGTTCCCTGCTGGTCCCCCACCTCCTCCACAACTGGTGCCTAGGTGCTGGGCTTCACAGACTGTGCTGCTTGGTGCCTTCGACAAGAACACTGAAACAGAGGTAAAGTAATCTGCCAAGATTACCCAGCCGCCGAGTTGGAGAGTCAGGATTTGAAATCAAGGTCATCATCTAACTTCAAGGCTGGTGGCCTCAGCACACCACCTCCCTGGCAGAAGACATTACAAACAGTATGGGATCTGCCTTCTGCTAACCAATGGTCCCCGGGGAATACGGAACTCGGGACGGCCTTACAGTAGCCAACAGCAGTGGCTTCCACCCCTCCCAACTGGCTCCTGCTGCCTACCCTCACCCTGCGCGCATGCTTGGACACAAGATCAAAGGACAAGAAGTTCGGAAGGTCCCAAATTAAGCTTTTATTCTTCCTCGCCAATGCACCTGCAACTGGTCCATAAAAGTGCTGAGAAAAACTGGCAGCGTTAGTCAAGTAAATACGGAAATCCTCATAACAACTGTACAAAGGTGGAAGGGTCAGGTCCTCATCCCCATTTTAGAAATGAGGAAATGGAAGAACAGAGGTGAAATGACTCGCCCAAATTCACAGAGCTTGCTGGAGCTGCAGCCGGGAACAGAAGTGTGCCTGCTACAGGCCAGGCTCTTTCTGTTCTGCTTCGGAGCTGCTGTGGGGGAACCATCTCATCTGGGTTACTGCCCAGCGCCAGGGTGTGGGTGTGTGCCTGGTCTATGTTAAACAGTGCCACGGGAGGTTCCGATGGGCAATTAAGATTTCAAAACGCCTTTTCAGGTTTGATCACTGCAGACCTACTCCATCCTGTGGCATTACTCAAAATAATGATCGCACGTAATTCCAGATTAGCTTTAATGAGTAGGTGCTCAATAAATACTTGCGAGATGAATAAACGGATGGATGTCAAACTACCCTCACGTGCGAGGCAAAAATAAAATGAAGGACAAAGGCCCTAGAATGATTGTATACCAGGTATACCCTGTGGAAATCTGTCCAGGCACTGGTGAAGCCAGGCTAAAAAAACTGTCTTCTAAAATGCAAAGTAAATGTGCAAACTTTGGGAGGCTTGGGCCAGAATGACTCCCTTGTTTGCAGAACTAAGCAGAACAGGAACCTGATCTTACTAATGAAGGCAGTTTGAAAGCGGTTTTCAGGCACAAAGCTTTGGAAGGTACCAGGGTATGAAGTGAAAGAACAGATAAAGGAGTGGATTGCAGTGATTAGACTCAAAGAACAGCAGTAGTAGAAAGAATGGCACAGAGGCCAAACCAGTAAGGCCCACAAGCGGGTTCCTGGGCTGGTCGCTCTGCAGGGTGGCATCACGGACTTGACACCTACTCCACCCAGCTCGCGTCTTGTCCTGGCCCAGCTTGGCTGATCGGAGCTGACACCACCTCTGGACCATCTCTGGCAAGAGCCCCAAACTTTCCAGAGACTGGTGACCATCCTGAGCATGTCCCGGGCAAAGCTGGGCTCTTCAGCAGCTCTCGGAAGCCAGATGCCTCAGGGGATGGACATGTCCTTCCTAGAAACCAGGTGAAGAGCTGGCCGAGGAGTCCCAGAGTATGCATAGGCATTGGACCTTGCTGTCTCCAGCCCCCCTTAGTAATTGGCTAGGGAGATGATAATGTATTCAGCCTCCTAACACAAGGCAATGAGTTTCAAAAGGCTCCAGGAACCTGTTTAGCTAAAGAACTTTACTACAAACTGACCAAGGGACACAAAACCTACAGGTAACTTCTTTAATGTTCCGGTGAAGATGGTTACATTCCAGACTGCAGAGCCAGTTAAAAGGCTCATAGACATACTTTTTTTTTTCTTTGAGAGAACACACTTCAGTTCTGGTTCAGAAATGGTGGCTACAGCACTATGTCTCTATTATTACTACCCAATTTCAAGGAAGGAGAGTTTGGGGTGGGTGAGCAGGGCTGCCTGCTTTAGACAATACTCTCTCTTATTAGGGCTACTTGCTGTCTGCCTTCCTGTCTCAAGCTCCATGAGGGCTGCAGATGAGAATTCTGGCCTGGGATTCAGAAGGGGTCAGACTAGGCTTGCAAGCGACCATCACGATCCTCAGAGGAGTCCTGACCAGAGTATCACCTATTAGCAAACCAGGTAACCATTGTTTAAAACCCTCGTGACTTTTTTTTTTTGAAAACAAAAATAAAGACAGAACCAACGATCAATGAAAGACTTCAGGAAGAAACTCAATTTCCAGAATGATGTTAATTCCTAGTTTTCAAAGGATGAGGTTGCATGTATTTATTTTCCATAAATACAACTCGGTGTGAAAACAGCTGCCAAGAAATACTGTCTGTGAGAGGTACCATTTTACAGCAAAAATATGATTTGGAAGTATTAAGAAAGGCAAGTAGCTAAAAGAAGACAGAAACATGATAAAGGTGAATGGTAATTATAGTAACTACCAGATAATGTAATTTTCCTCAGGATTTAAAAGCTTGTGAGGCTTTTTTTCTGACACAAGGTCTATTTTGCCCAGCCTGGTTGTGAACTTGTGGGTTCAAGAGAGCCTCCTGCCTCAGCCTCCTGCAGTAGCTGGGTACATAGCACCTTGCCCAGCTTTGCAATATTTTTTCAGACAGAACATATAAAACCCTAACCATTCATACAAACCACCTCCACCTTCCCACCAAAGAGGAAACAATGATTTGGAGAAAGCCATCTAAAGACTACCAAATCTTATTGGATGGAATTAGAACCAAAAAAGCCGCATCAGTTTGGATTACTTTTGAATTTCAGTCTAAAGGCCTCTTATTCTACATGTCAGCTTAATATCTCAAGTTGCTTTTCCCAAAAGACAAAGGAAAAGTCTTACTGGGATTTTCTAAAACTCCCATTGCTTTTCAAGAAAGATTATCAGTAGCCAACTATTTGATCCTAGTAACTTTCCAAACATCTTATTTTATACTTTCCCTTTATCCATAAAGAAATATGGTGGGATGTGGTACTTAAAACCAAAATCCTATTTTCATCAATATTTGAGAATACAAGACGATTTGCTGCTTCAGCAATTCTGAATTAATTCTAGCAGAGAACACTGTGGGTCATTCCTTTAGGTTTTAAAGAAAACCCCAGAATAAGTTCACTTGCCAAGTTTTCATTCCCAACCATTTCTTTAAAGCTCAGTTTCTGAAGAACCAAGAGAAAAATAACTTGATAAAGTAGACTTTAAATAATTAACAAAGATTCTGTAATCTACCACTGACAAGATATTTAAAAACTGGAATTATGAAAAAGTTGTTTTTAAAAAAGGTCAGGAAACCAGGCGTGGTGGTACACTTTTGGTCTGAAGTAGGCAAACTGCAAATTCAAGCCCAGCCTGAGAAAACTTAGCAAGACCCAGTCTCAAAATAATGATAAAAAAGATACAGAGGCTGGGGTGCTCGGTGTGAAGTTCCTGGGTTCAATTTTCAGTACCACCAAGGAGGGGGGGGAGCGCAGACACCCCCATACACACAAACTAGAGTGTTCTCCTATTTTCAAAATACAAGATTAAAATTTTCCAAACCATCATTCACTGGATTCTTCTTGCTAGTTCTTCTTTTTCTTGAAGGTTTTTTGTTTTTTTTTTTTTTAAAAAAAAAAAACTAAAATGATTTGGAAATCAGGTCTAGAACACAGTCAAATCTTTGTCCTTAAAATTTATCCCTGATGTTAGTCTTTGTCTTTAAAAACAAATAATCCTGGAATTTTTCAGTATGGTATGCTTTTCTTGAATAATTTTTCTAAAAATTTCTCCTTTAGGACATAACCAAGATTGGAACTTGGCCCAGGTTGCCAAGATTACTTAAATCCGCTGTCCCCGCCCCCTCCAAGCCTGCCGTGAGTGGCCCTGTGCAGGGTGGCCGCATCCTTCAGATAATGCTAGGCCTCCTTGGATGTAAGGTGTTAATCCCGATCCTAAATTGACAGCTTCAGGGCAAAATGCCTCTCTGAACAAATCCTCTACCAACCTTCACTGGAGAACTGAAACACACAAAACAACCCCCAACTTGATTTTTTTATTTTTTATTTTTTGCCCATATGTACACAAATTCCTTAAAAAAAAAAAAAATCACAATCTGGCAATGAAAAAATTTAAAAGGTAAAAAGTATTGATTCACCCATATAAACACAGTGGAGCAAAGGGTGCATGTAAAAAGGTTAACTGACTTCTCATTATGACATAACACAGGCATCTTAAGCAATCCCTAGTGTGTAGAGACATGATAACTCCCTGGGTGGGGATTCGGAGTTTAGGGGCAGGGACCACGGCCTGGTCTAGGCTACTGATCTACCAGAAAACAGCCTGAAACAGGAAAGAGCACACATATGCCACTTGGAATGTATGACGCAAACCCCAGCCTTGAAACAAAGAACAGGAAACAGCTCTGCTGGCTGTGCTGGAGAGAAAGCACAGAGAAACATTTAGTCGGCCCTCCCTGACCCTATATTCATGAGCAGCTGGAGTTTTTAAAGACAACAACAGGGGGTGGAGGTGTTTGTTCTTTGGGTGTGAATAATAACACCAGCTTTATACGGGGGAACCTGCCCTATTTACAAATAGGAGCTGCCACATACAGTAAACATCCTAAGTGCACATGTGATTTTATCATATGTGAGCTGCAGAGACCTTCCAAATTAACACCAGCTCCCTCCCGATTTCTTTTGTCTCTTTGGTCCCATCCCAGTGGCTAATCCCCAGCTCTGACCAAATTCTGGGTTACGGTAATGATTATCATTTAGTTTGAGCGCATCACAAGGAAAATCAAGATACAGCATTGCTGTTAAGAATTCAGATTATAACTGGGTTTCCCCATCTAACTGAAACTGGACCAGTTGTAAGCATCCCTCAGTCACAGAACTAAATTCCAAGACACAGGCTGTGGGCCATTTAGTCACCCCAAATCGTCACTGTCTTCTTCCAAATGTGGCTATAGACAGAGCTGCAGCTCCTGTTAGGTGCATACACATCTAGAGAATCCACCTCTTGAGAATATGATCATCACCGACAGTTCATTTCATCCAACACTGTCGTGCAGGCTGAGAACCAGAACACCGACTTTTACCAGATATTCCAAAACATCTATTTTCCTTTAGGTATGATAAAGTCCATTTATGGTCTCATTTCCATCTCATTATTTACTTTCTTGGCCAGGACGATTTAACTCAGGTTTCTATTATCAGGCGTTTAAGGACTGGTGTGTAGATCTTTCAAGTAAAAAAATAAAAAATAAAAAGGCATTACTGTGCCATGGCAACAAGATTGGGTTTAATTTAGAACTTTTGCAGTGAAGAAAAAACAATAGCTTTCTCCAAAAGCTATGCTGTTGCTTTAAATCCGACAAGGTTTTGCGGTCTAAGCACCTACTTTTCTTTGTTATTCTCACACTGCACCTCTTACACTTGTGTTCTCCTTCAAGCAAGCCAGTGTTTTTTACAGCACACCGTCACTTACTTAACCAGTAACACATTAGCCTTTTTTCTTCTTGTAGTCCTACAGCAAACTCCACTGACCAGAAACTGAGAAAGCAGTTTCTCTCGGGAGTTTAAATTAATCAAACATTTTACTCCAGGTTTCCATTAACAGCCATAGGTCAACTAACACACCTCCGGCTTCAAACCCAAGAAATCACTCTTTCCTTAAACAATACCATGAAGCTGCAAAATTCTGGAAATGTTCATTTTCCCGGATTGTTTTTTCCCCTAAAAACAAGGCTTCCCCAGGTTGAGGCAGGTTATCAGCCAGACTGTGTCCTCCTATAAATATGCTCCTCAAATTGGTACAACACTCGGAAAAAGCACAAAAATGCAGTGCGGAAAAACCTATAGTGCACAGCTGGCCTATGCCCCACTTGTTTTTGCTTAATAATTAGACACGAAATTGAAATGCAGTCAGAATACCACTCCATACTCCCCCCATTTACCAGGCTCTCGTGGGAGTATAATAAATATATTTAAAGTGTCTTGGTTGATATTAATGGAAAATATAAAGTCCAAGTCGGTAAAAAAAAAAAAAATTCAGCGATTCAGTGTAGAACGTTTATTTTGGTGACATACAAGAAGGCGAGAATTTCCAATAAACCTTTAACCCGACTTAAAAAAAAAAAAAGTCACTCAGATTCTTTATCCAATACTGTACACTGCTGCAAAATTCAAAGCAAAAATAAGTGTCTCTCCCTGTTATCTGCCAAAGAAATGGATATGACAATTCCAGGTCTTATCTACCATCTCTAAGATAACCACTCTGAAATGTTCGGTAGGTCCCGTGGGTCCTGGTCCAAGGATCAGTCCCCGGGTCCCCATCAGGCTCGGGTCCCTAGCGCCGCAGGCTCTGTGACCAAGACACTGTCTGCCTCCAGTCCCGCCGCAATCCTCGCCCCAGGCACTGCGGCAGGTTCTCTCCGTGCCCCCAGGACTCTCCAAACCCGGCCGGCTTTCTTCCACTGCCCGGAGAGGCCAGCAGCCCTGGCAGCTCCCAGGCTCCAGGACCCACACGGGGATGCTCCTCCACTCCCAACAGCCCCAAGTTTCTTCCCAGAGGGCCGGCTGGCTGCTCCAAGTTTGCCGAGCCGGCGAGCGGCCGCGCACCCCGTCCTGGGAGGGGGGTGGCTGGCGGGCGGGGGGCGGGGTGGGGTAGGACGCGGGAGCCCGGGCTGTGGGGGGGCAGCAGAGGGAGGAGCAGGAGCGCGCGGCCTCGGTGCTACCTTTCTCTTTGCAACGCTGCCACACGCGGAGAGCACCGAGGTTGCTGGGGCTCTGGAGGGAGTCGCGGGCGGGTGGGCGCGGGCGCGGGCGCGGGCACAGACCGGGGACCACACAGGTGAGCCCGCCCGCGCCCTCCCCGCGGCCTCGGTCCCGCGAGGTGTCCCGCATCCCACACGCTC